GAGAGAGAGAGAGAGATTTTGCCCGGACGGATACTTTGATGAATTCGCGAACTCAGCTACGGTTTCTCGTCCCGAAAGATCGATCGTGCAAACGAAGAAACGAGAAAAGGAAAAAGGGATAATTTAGGAGGAGTCGAGCGATACAGGAGGCGACCCCTTGATACCATCTCCTCCCTTTCTCTCGTTCGAGAATTAGATATAATTCTTGCTTTACTCGCTAACACGCCATTTTTACGCCCGTAATTCCTACACATATAAATTCTAAATCATTGGTGTGCCGGGTAGGCGAGCAGGTTGAATAGGATTCCGCGCCAACTGGAAACTGGATATGGAACCCGTGTTTCATCTCGTAAAACTTTGATGAAGTTGGACGAGCTTTATTCACCTAAAACCCTCGCTTCATCCTCGTGTTGTGTCAACTGAAATTCTTATGACTTTTTCGAGACGCGAAAGAATGTTAGAAAAGAAAGAAAAGAAAAGAAAGGAAAGGAGAGAGAGAGAGAGAAAAAAGAATATATTTCAATCGAGTGTTTAAATTTCTTTCTCGAATCCTTGAACGAATGATTGGATGAAAATTTAACCCCGGTTAAATTTGTTGCGCTTCGGTGGTTATGGGGCTAAAATTGAATGGCCTGATTGTAGGGTATTTGCAAGCTACGCTAGTTTAATCTCGATGAGCCGAAGATAAGAGGATAATCGTCAATGGCACACGTCTAAGAGAACGACTCCTGCAGGGATGAAGGCTGTCGATACACATACGAGAATCTTGCGCGAATACGAGGACGACACTTATCATCTCTCAAAGTGCGTCGATCCATTAGCAGGGACTGGCACGAATGTTCACATTCAGCCGATTTCAGTGTATCCCTTTACCAGTGTGTGTCGGTGTACGTCAGTCAGGCGAAATACTATCGGTGAATGACAGTTTCCCCAATCAACAATAAGTGTATTTCTGTATTACACGCAACGATGATCCAAAGTTATCGAACGCGTATGTGTGTATAATCACGAGATACGTTCATCAATCGATACGTTTAATTTTTCCTAATTCAGCGCGTCTATCTTTTCTTCCAGACGATAAAACAAATGTTTCGAAATTTAACAAGAGACGCGACAAAAGGAAAAAGAAAAATTCACTTTTTTTTTTTTTTTTTCTATACGAGTGAGATACTCGATAATTTTTCATGAAAAAAGATGATCTCGGAAGTTTGCGTTTAACCGCATGGGAGCAGAGATAACTCGGTGAAGTGTTATTATGCAACGTGATTGCTCGATATCCACTCACGGGAAAATTAATCTGTCAACTCGACCATTAATATGCATACTTCCGGTTCGACAGCAAGCAAGATGGCGTACCCTAACGTTCATCAAAGTCTGCCACACTTTGAGACGTGCACCTCTCGAATTTAAAACTTGCCTCAGCTTCGTAACTTGCCCTCGCCTCCTATATTACGGTTAATAAACGAATCGTGTCGCGCCAACGGCTGGCTCGCGCCGCTTGCACGGTAAACTTAACAAAATCGTTATCGGGGCTAGAAGAGATTACAGCTTATAGTCTTAAGCTTGTTTGCCTCTCGAAATTTGAATATTTATTATAAGAGTTATAGAGGCGCGATCGCTTTGATGAAATCTTTGCGTGTTTCGCTTTTCAATTTATTCGAGCGAGACGTATTCTTCGTATTCTTCCTCGAAACGACTCTCTTGAACGACATTCGTTCAGAATATTTCATATCCGCTGCGATATGAAATACCATTAATCGTTTATTAAGCTCGACGTATAAATTGACGCATTGTTTTTATTCGTATTCAGAACGGCGGTGCGAATTTCATAACCAATTCCTGTGACGTACATTATCTTGATAACCTACGTGGCTCGACGTGGAAACGCGAGGGTCGACGCGTGCCATTATCACGCATACTTCAAATTGCTCCCCTTCTTCTTCGAAACATTCCCCCGAATAAAAATGGGACGAAAAATAACGAACGCGAAAACACGGAAATCCCTCTCGTCGATACCGACTTCCCCTACAATTTTTCAATTAAAAATAATCGGGGATTTTTTTCGGGGATCGCGAAAAAACACCCATACAAATATACTTTTCAACATTCTTTGTTCGAAATTCTGTATTTATGTCACGTTGCTAAGTTAACGAATCGCCGCGTATATAAATAATATTACGCGCAATATACGATATAAAAATACGAGAAAATACGACAGGTATTAATTTTCGAGATCGTTGAACGATCGATGCTCGTCTGGCAAATATTTGAGAAACCGTTCAACGCGGTTTCAACCGTCTTTGCTTCCGCCGTTTCCGTTCGTTTCCGGGCCAAGCTCATTAACTTATCAACCGTGGCAGTTGTCAGCATCGTCGCGTTTCGAGAAGACGACAATGCCTTTCCCACCGAGGGGAAAACAAGAAGAAGAGGATCGAGAGGGAGGAGGGAGTCGGAGCAAGTGGAAGCTTACGTTTCCCTGGTAATATTCATAACTCGGAAGCGGCTTACTCCCTCCCTCTCCTCTATCTCTCCTACGAATCTTTGCCACGGTCGATATTATTTAAATTAACCGACCACTCGAACAAGTTTTCTCTCTTTTCCCGCCATTATAAATACAATCTTGAGCGCGAATATTCGCGGTCTCGCATCCTATTAATCGCTCCTTTTTCCCGTCCTCTCCGTTCTCCGCCGCGACGAAGGAAAAGTTTGGAGGAAAATCTCGAAGGTCTCCTCTCTCTCTCTCGATCATGTCGCGCTCGATTTCGTTCGATCGGAATAAGCATTCTTCGGACGGATTCTCGTTTCGCCCCGATTTCATTTCCGTCCATCTTTCCGGAAAAGTGCATTTTCCAGTCGCATTTCCTATCGACTTGGCCCGCCTATTAACCGGTGCCGCGATTCCGTACGGCCACAACGAGAATACCTCGATAACCAATTTATTTCCCGGAATATGATGTAACACGCAGAGGGGGGGAGGGTTCGAGAGAGGTTCGCGCGACACCGTTCATCAATTTGTGAATTTAAAAAAAAAAAAGGAAAAAAAAGTTGGAACGATTCTAAAATTACGTATCGACGAAGAAAGCAAGGATAATTGCGAGGCTTGTTGAATTAATCGATAGCAGGTGGCCGGGGTAACGAAATGGGGAGATTTATTAGTCACGGCCTAGAATATGCAAAACAGTTACAAACAGGCGTCGAGTTATTTGTGGTAGACTAACGATGAAAAGTTTATTTTACTCGTGGAAGAGAGAGAGAGAGAGAGAGAGAGGAAAAATGGCAAATCGGTGCCGCATGAATAAAGAGTAACCGGATAGAAAGCGATTTTAAATAATTCATATTCGTCTCGATATAACTCGACGGTATGATTTTCAGTTGCTTGAATATTCGTTTTTTTTTTCAAAAATTCGTTTCAAAACTCGGACAAAGAACGAAACCTCCTGCTTCGAATCGAGTCGAAATTCCGAGGATGGATTCTCGGGAAGAATCAATTAAATCGATACTAGTTCCCTCCGACATCGATTCTCATTAGCGTTTGAAGATCTCGAGTTGCCAGGTTGCCGGTAATAGATGCAGCCAACGTTCCACGCGTGCATAGGCTCGTGCACGGTTCACCGGTGCGGCCGGTGAACATCGTTCCACGGTATCGTGGTGATGGTCGAACGCCGATATCGATCCGCGTCTTCCGTCCTCGCGCCGAAAGTGGCCGCGGGCGTCGTGAGAACAACTTTTTCCAACGACGCGCCTCGTTAAGTCCACGTTATCTCCCGACATCCTTTTATTCCACTTCTGTTTACCGATAACGATGATTCCCATCCCAAGTTGCTCTCCAATCTTGCTATTTCATCCCTTGCGAAGATGCGTCGTGGTGATTAGGATCTTTTAATTATTCGTTGTACGAATATTGGAGGAATAGTCGCGTGAAGTATAATTAATTAATTTATTTAATAGGTGAAACTCTTGTGGAGGAACGTTTGGAATCAATATCGATTGTT